GTCCAGTTTGGGGCTTAGAATATCAAGGTGTTAACGTCATTTTTCTTTTCTACCTCTGGAACAATTTTTTGTACCGAGGCTATGATTCTGAGAGTGAGCAAATTGCTTTGCAATCTGTTTATTGGTGCACCTACGGGCACAAAATGCATACAAGGGAGTCCTTGACCTTGGGGACACGTGAGTCTGCTAGAGGAGGGAAATGTTACAGAAATAAATACACTTTTGTAAAACTTGTGTTTCCTAACTATCTTTAGAATCCTCCTTTCCATTTGTGTCCTCTTTTGTTCATTTGTTTACATAGTATCTGGAAAAAATACTAGCCAGCTTGATCTTGACAATCAGCAGATTTCCTACTTCATTCCATTCCAATACCCCGATGCCCATTGCCTAAACTCCTCTTCCTGGCATCCCATGAGCAGACTCCTCCATTTGTCATGTGCATGGGTGGTCCATTCTAGCAGGGTTTGTATTTTTCACTTCTTCATCGGCCTCAGGTAGACACTCTGTTTTTTATGGTAGGGATTAAGTTAGGCCTGCCCTTGAGCCTGTGCTCTACTTTGGCTCCTGTTGCTGTGGACTGCTTTTCCACTCTCTGCTGACTGAGACGCCCTGGGGTACCCTGGAGCCTGGACCAGGGGTGCTGCTTCCTCCCCAGTTAGGGCCTCTTCCTCTGACTTCATGAGGGAGGCAGTCATGGCTTTGTGTTTTGAGTATTGCCTTACTTACCTGTTTCTCTCACCAGACTGCAAATCCAGTGAGGTAAAGGAATGTTCTTTAAACCTGTATGCATCATTAAAAATGTTCACTGGATTTGGGTGAGTGAATGCTTGGATCCATGCACGTATCAATGGTTTAATACAAAATGAGCTGCAGATCTGAGAAAAGCATGAGGTCTGGTATTCCTGTGTGGATCTTATGCTAAAATGCTGCTAGTTAGCACATGGGGTCCCTCCCTGTGCACTGTTTTTCATGAAGAAGCTGAATTTACCGCTCAGTGTGGTTAAGTACATGGGATTTTTACAAAAAATTTCCTGAGAGTTCCTGTGATACATTAGGGTTGTGTAGAGATGCTAGCTGGCTGATATTCTACCAGGCAAATCTATGGTGTAAAGACAGAGCAGCTTCCAGTGACGCTGCTGCAACACACGTAGGCATCCAGAGTTGCCCCCAGTACAGCCGTGAGTTGTTAAGAGGAATCCATAGCGGCATTCTTTTTGAATAAATAGTCTTTTGAGATATGCTGTTGTTAACAAAAATATGACAGGATTACTACAAAAGTATGTTCATATGGAATTCATGCCACAAGTAAGTAGTAGGCCCCTGGCCTTTTTGTTACTTTTGCTAATAAACAAAACAAATCCTTATCAATATGCAATATGTCTTCTTTGGGATCTCATTTTTCCCTCAAAAACCAGGAATTAGATTGTTTTCTGTTGAAAAGAAAAAACTTTATAGACTATTAAATCTAAGATCACTCCAAATGTCAGAGTTTGATTTTGGGGTGGTAAGTATGGGAGACTGGATGTATGGCATGCAGAGAAGAAAACTTTCTCTTCAGTTAATTACTAATGCTAAATTTTGATGGTTTTTGCTTTTCAGTTGTTGGTGATATTTCTCCGATCAAATTTTCAAGTTTAGAGCATTTAGTAAAACATACACATACAGTCATAAGACATACATGGGACTTCATATTCTGCTTTAAAAACAGTGTGTTTAAGAGTAATTAATACTAAAGATAATGTGGGTGGAACTCTTCTTCCCCACTCCTGATGTTTCCTTCCATGTGGCAGGAGCTGTAATAGTGCAGCACTCCCGACTGCCTTTTCCCTGCTCAAGTAGTAGCTGCCTGGGAGGAAACAGACCATGCATAGCCCAGCCCCTTCTTTGGGGGAGATAACTGCCTGTGAAAACCCTGGGCCTCCATCCTGTGAGTTTTACAGCAGTACTTGACGTATGGGGAAGGCTGGGACTAGGTGGGTGCGTTGTTTAATTCTGTGCTTCAGTATTAGCAAGTGCATTGTTTCTGCACACCTCAGCCAGAGTTTTCAGTTTCTGATTTATCAGTACTATAGGTGGGATTTTGCCAGCCTGTCTGCTTTCCTCCTGAAGTTCATTTTGTCCAAAGCTGGGGTGGGGACGTGTGGTGCCTTCCTTATGCCAGTGTCCTCACGCATATCTCTCATGTCCAAAACAGCCCCGAAAGTGAATTGTATAGTCTCTGCTTTTCAGATGAGAAAGGAGGAGCCCTGGGAAGGTAAATCACTCCACGCACGTGATTAAGTTCTACTCGGCACCCTACAGCTAATTCCTAAACCTGAGGCTCCAAGGACATACTGCCAGTGACAGTATTACAGATTAAAGCTTTTAAAGGGCTTTGCATACACAGAGCACTGAACAACACAGATGAGGTTTCTTCTTTTGTAGCTTTGCTTGTTATACTGTAAATAAAAAGCACTTAAATATAGCCAGCAATTCCCTGAATGGCCACCTCCTCTAGTTGTGCATACTGCCTTTACTTCTTCCAGCTCTTTCTAGCCATCTTGGGCCTCTGAACTGTTTCTAGTGACTAGAATGCTCTTTTCCTCCTTCACCTGGTTAGCTTCTACTTATTCTGCAGATTGCAGTTCACACGCCACTTCATCAAGCTGGCCTCCCGTGTCATGGTAGCTATGGTTGGTCCACTTTGTGACTTCTGCCGCCATCTGATCTTTTATATCACCACCCAGACCATCATTGGTGGTTCTGAATTCATCAAGGCTGTTCTTCCCAAGCCAGTGAAACTCTGCATGCACAGCAGCCAGTTTGTTCACCATCGTGAGCCTAGCGTGCTAACGTGATAGCACAAGGCTGGCACCCCAAGTGTGGTTAGTGGGTGAATAATGGATGCTGATGTTTCAGTTGGAAACAGGCAGTCAGACAACAGATTCTCATTTATCTCAACTCCGTTTCTATTCAGACCTCCCATAGATGGAGGAAGCCCGCCTCCATAGGTGAGGCCCATATGCTTACTCAGTCTACTGATTCAGACATTAATTTCATTCTGACATACTCTCATAGACAGATCTAGAGAAATGCTTTAAAAAGTATCTGAACTCTCTGTGATCAACTCATGTTGACAAATAAAATTAGTCATTTTACCTGGTTAGGTCAATTTCCTGCTATCAGCTATTCCTGTTTTTGTTGGTGGTGGATATAGTCTCCTGTGAGACATTGATAGGTATGGCTAACTATATTTGGAATAATTCGAATGTTCAAGTTCTGTGTCTGTGGCTCCATTCATAGAATATTTGATCTTGTAAAGTATTTTAAATTTTAGATGTCTGAATCATTTTCTTTCTTTTCTTTTGTTCGTACTAGGGTTTGAACTCAGGGCCTCACTCTTGCTATGTAGGTTATCTATCACTTGATCCAGTCCATCAGGATATTTATTTTCTGGATAAGGACTTGTGAACTGTTTGCCTGTGCTGGGTTTGAGCCCTGGGATATCCCTGGTCTCTGCCTCCTGAGTTGCTGGGATTACAGGAGTGAGCCACCAGTGCCTGGCATGACTCACTTTTTTTTTATGGCTGCATTTTACATATTCTGAGAGAGAGATGACACTCCTTCTCAAATACGTGATCTGTATAACATCACAAGCAACATTTGCTGAGAATTTGCCTTGTTCTTTGATTATGTACACAAGCAACATATGTAGGATCAGGCCTAACATACTCATATCTACCTTCACATATATGGATGTAAAGACACAACAGGAACAAAGCAAAACTCATTAAAACAAAACACTTCAACTGTATATGAAGATTAATTTGAACATGTGAGGTGGTGAATTCCTTTTTGTACATCTAAGGTCTAATCTGTTTGGAATGTAGTGACCTTTCCTTTATGTCCATGTTAAGAACATTTTATTCTATTAGTTGAATTGAGGTTTGAAACATGTCTAACTTATGGTTCCTTAATATTGCAGTTTAAGGGAAATTGTATTTAAACTAGCAATATCTGGATTACAAGAGAAAAAAGAAAAAAATATTTTCACATTTTTAAAGACAGAGCAGTACTAAAGATACTTTCAAGGAGCAAGCATGGGAGAATGGGTGTATGTGTTTGTGCCTCAGAGTGAGTGAGTGTGGTGTGTGCATGCATTAGCATGTGTGTAAGTGTGTGTGCATGAGGGTGTGCCTGTGTGTGTATGTTGTGTTGTATGCATGGTGTTTTTAATGTGTGAGTGTGTGCATGTGCTTGTAAGTTTGTGCCTGTGTTTTTGTCTGACCATATATGATGGAAGTAACATTACAAAATAGAGGTTGTATTTTAAAACTGCAATATTTTACTATGACTTAAACCAGTTCAAAACTTTCCAGTTGTTTGTTGAATGCCACAAATACATGAACATGAATGTGCACTGTGCCCTCTCCTGGCCTATGGTTTGCCAGGACTACCTGGAGGTTCCTGAGAATGCTGCCTGGGCCATCCAGACCCAAAGGGCCTCTTAAGAAGATGGGAGCTGGCACTGTTTTGGGAACCGAAGTTCAAAAATGAATACTCAGCCCTTGCCAAGATGGCAAAGGGTCTGCCGCTGTTTGTGCACCCTTTGAAACAGAAGTTTTTATATGGCTACTCTGAAAGGGTGACTGGGAAGGAGTGGAAGGAACAAGGTGGCAGGGACTGGGATGGGGCAGAGACCCAGCCTCACTTCTCCAGGATTGGGCCATTAGTGTGTTAGATCAGCATGAACTGTCCCCCTCCATATGATCCCAGTAGAAGAAGGAGATGTATGGCCTTCTTGTTCCTCTTGTACCCCATAACCTTCAAAGTGTTGATGAGGGTAGAATTGCAGTTTCTTGGCCACCCATTCTCCTGGAAGAGCGGCCCATGGGCAATCAACAGCTGAACTGAGAGCCGTGTGAAAATGATATTGATAATGCTCATCAGGTGTTGTACTGTTTTGATGTGACAGCTGACATTGCTTCTTTTTGCCTCCCCCGCTCCCTCCACTAATACAGGGCATTGATGTTCGAGATGCTCCCCTGAAGGAAATAAAGGTGACTAGTTCCAGAAGATTCATAGCTTCATTTAACGTTGTGAATACGACAAAGCAAGATGCTGGGAAGTACCGCTGTATGATCCGCACAGAAGGAGGTGTTGGGATATCAAACTATGCAGAATTGGTAGTTAAAGGTATTTAATGTGTTTTTCATACCTCTCATAGTCTATTATAACAGATATGTTAGATAGTTGTTAGTTCATTATTTGTTTAATGCTCAAACTTACCCTTGTCTGTTTCTGAACAGTAGTTTGGTGATAGGCTACATTGATGGATTGCATATTAAGTACAAATTTTTGCACGTGAGCAATATTTTTGAAAAATGCATGTTATTTATGTTGGTTTACTTGCATGCAAAGCAATGAATGTGCTCTTGGCAAGGTCTACTGCTAGTTCTATATGTACAGATTACAACCTATAAATTTTTTTAAGGAATGAAAATTGTTTACTGATAGAAAATCACTTAAAATGCAAATATTCAGCAGCCAGGGTGTTTATGACAGCACAGTAGTTAATAAAATGAAGCAGTGTCAGTATAAAAATGCTCCCTTATATCACACAAGCCATATTGATTATACTGTCTTAACATTCATAATGTCCCAGTTAGGCTCTATTACTATATTTTGCATGACTGGAAAATTGAGTCATTATATTCAAGAAGGTGGGAGATGAGTGAAAAAAAGAGGGGAGAAATAAGTTTCCTTTAGCTGGTTTTGTGCTTTTTTGTGAGCTGAGGAGTTTATAGTATTAAGGTGCTAAGGCAAATTTTGGTCCCAGACAAAGTAATTTGGACTTTATGCTGTACCAGTTTTAGATAACTGTGGCAGGTCATTGGTGTTTTCATAGGATATCAAAATAATGCCTTGTTTATTTTACTTTACTTTTTGATTCTGGGGATGGAAGTCAGAGCCTTGTCCATGCTAAGCAATGCTCTACCACTGAGGAGCCCTTCCTACTCTGTGCCCTATTTTATATTTTCCCTTTTCACTTATTAAGTGTGGAACCTAAAATTCATCATCTTAAGATGGATTATTCCTTTTATCAACTCTTTCTACTTGCGCATAGTTTTAAAACATTCTGGGTTCAAATCCCAGGACTAGCTATGTGGACATGGGCCAGGGGCTTGCCTTCTCTGTGCATCTAGTTCCTTATATGTAAAGTAGCTATCATATGTTATTACCCAATAGGGCTGTCAGGAGGTCCCATGCAGAAAGTCATGCGTGGCACTTTGAACAGCATGCATAATAAGCAGCCAGAGCTGTATGAGGAGAGGAGGACCAGGATGCTCTTACTGTCTGAGCCAGTACGTCTGTGGTTTTCACTTGGGAGTGCACAGCAGAACTACCTTTCCAAATTTTAATCAATGAAAATGACTGCTCACCTATTGTCCCTCCATCTTTCTGCCACACGGTGAGTCAGAATCTCTTGGACACAGCTTACAAGTTGGTCTCTGCTTCTCTGTGAGATCACTGCTCCCCAAATTATTGTGTGGCTTAGGAGACACCACTGCTTGCCAGGGAGTCCACGTTGAGATCGCTCACTGCAGCAGTGATGGATGCTCACTGTGAGGAAGCACACATATAAATATGTACAAATCACATCTTGGTATGTTAGATTCTTATGTGTTTTGCTTAGTAGTGAAACTTGAACTAGCCTGCCTGCTTAAAGTTTCGAGTTTAGGTTTAAGATTTATAGCAAAACTAAAATTCTGTGTATCCCTTACATAGAATTCAACCCCTGTTGAAGGCTGTCCTGGAGTGGAGGCACCATAGTGTAGCAAAAGCAATAGACATCCTGGGCATTCCCATACTGAGATGACCCTCCTTCTCCCCCTCCTCCCCCCCCCCCCCTCCTCCTCCTCCTCCTCATCCTTGTTTTCCTCATCCTTGTTTTCCTCATCATCGTCATCATCGTCATCGTAGCTGTTATCTAACTTCCATCTCCGTGCAGTTCTTTGTGATTGTCTTTCCTGTCTGAGTTACAGTTGTTATTCTCTTCACTGTCACCAGCCAAGCCCCTGTGATTGAGGAATCCTGCTTCATGATCAGTCCAATGCCAATGTATTAACTTCTTTAAAAGCGTATGTCTGACATCCCAGCAGTGGTGGGAAACCTAAAATAGGAGAATCATAGTCCAGCCAAGCCTGGTCAAAAAGTGAGACCCTATCTCCAAAATGACCAGAGCAAAAAGGACTGTATGTATGGTTCAAGTGGTAGAACAAGTATGATGCCCTGAGTTCAAATCCCCCCACTATCACCAAAAAACAAGACCCAAAACTAACATAAAACTCATTGGAAACATTAATTTGTTGGGAGTTTGTACAAATAAGCCAGAAATTTCTAGTGTTCTAGAAAAGGCACAGAAAGAAGAAATGGAAGGGTCCTTGTCACATCTGTGTACCATGCTTTCCCATATTAGAACAGCATAGTTGTATACTGGCTCATAGGTAGCAATGTTGTGCTGTCATTGCTTTCCATCTCAGCATGGTGACAAAGCCTGTGACAACTGGTGTGCAAGTAAGGGCTCAGATGTAAAATTTGTTGGTATCAGCTTCCCTGAGGTCTTGTTCAGTAGGAATCAAGTATGTGATGGGTTGACTGTGCCTACCCTGGTAGAGGGCAGAAGTTGAAGCAAGTATGCGAGCACACGCTCACTTTATTTTTCATGTATTTGTATATGCAAAACACACCAAAGAGGCATAGCCACCTGTGAAAACACTTGAGAAAAAAACACTAGATCTTATGTTGTTCCTTGCTGGTGACAACACATTGAAGTAATACAGTTTATCATTTACCGTGTGTGATACCACTCACAATGACCCTGGCATATAGAATGCACTCATTTGGTGCCTGGAGGGCTGTTCAACTAGCATCTAACTAATAGTGGGAAAAGGATTTATGATGAGAAGGTTGTCTCTGGCTTCTCATACAGTGATGTGGAAAAAGAATTAGTCTCGGGTTGTGAGAGAGAGACTTCTTGGGTCGCAAAGTGTTTGTTACTGATTTCTTAGACTTTTATCAAGCTGAGCATAGCATGTTCTTTGATTCAGTCTTCCCCTCTATTCATGCCTTTAATAAGACACATGACTGGAAGTCCACTGAACATCAGCAGTGGTAGACTTTATTGTCCAGAATGCTGAATTCAATTTTCCTTTAGTTAGATGAGGCAGCCCAGTGTGATATGTTTTGTTTTTTTTTTTTTGGCAGTGGGAAGGAGGAAGTGGGTCATCTCAAAAATGTATTTATGATGTGATAAACTATAATTTAAGCCATGTGCTTAAAATTATGGTATCTTTGGGATGTAAAGGAAGCTCAATTTAATGATGTAGAGAAAACTAGTACCTTTGATGATTTTGAAAAGATTTTTCAATAGAGAGGTTGACAGTAGAATGCTTCCTGTTGCTTAACCACTACCACTTGAGAGAGCTTTCTCCAGTGACTTTTAGTAAGAGAAGAAATAACTGTTCATGTTTGAGTAGCTGAATAAAAATGAGTTGTGTCCTAAGACCAATTAGGGGTATCCCTACTTCACAAATTAGGCTTTGTTTGTTTGTTTTGAGTACTGTGTTGCCCAGTACTCGTGGGCTCAAGTGATCTTCCTACCTCAGTCTTCTGGGTAGCAGGTTCTACAGGTGCCCAGCTCAAGTTAGCTTTTCATAAATGCTTTGTTTTGCAACTAGTAACCTTGTGAAAACCTTTATTGTTGTGCTTCTTCATATTAAGCTGAGCAAAACTATTATCATAATTTCATTCCTAAAATTTTAATGTATTCTACCTTTTGATCAGTGATGTACATTTAGCTTTTTCTGACTACAGACAAAAGTGACTGAAAGATGGCTCTGGTTTGCCTTTCAGAACCCCCTGTTCCCATCGCCCCACCTCAGCTTGCCTCTGTGGGAGCCACCTATCTATGGATACAGCTCAATGCCAACTCCATCAATGGGGACGGGCCCATTGTGGCCCGTGAAGTGGAATACTGCACAGCCAGTGGGAGCTGGAATGACCGGCAGCCAGTGGATTCCACAAGTTACAAAATTGGGCACCTTGATCCGGATACTGAATATGAGATTAGTGTGCTGCTCACCAGGCCAGGGGAGGGTGGCACTGGATCTCCTGGTCCAGCTCTCAGGACAAGGACCAAGTGTGCTGGTGAGTATGAGGACTTGCTTCTGACCATCTCGATTCTCCTGTGCGTTGACTGGTAGCATTGGGATCATCAGGTGGCTCCCATGCTTCCCCAGCTCTGTCAGCACCCTGCATGCGAATAAAAATTCCCTGAACCTTGAGAACAGTAAACTAACAGCTTGTGAACTTTAGGACCTGTGACCTCAAGACTTGGTATCTCTCTGCTTACCTATGCCTTTTTCCTATTAATTTACACCTTGCTCAGGGTGCCACATAGTCCTACTGAATGATCACTAAGGAGCACAGCAGCTATCTACTTCATTATGTCTGCTAGTGGATCAGACCCTTTCCTACTGGTTCTTTTGTTTTATGGTCACAGTTAATGTGCTTATAATGGGGGATAGGGGATTTGGAATAATAGATTCCCTCTTAGAGATTGAAAGCTGTGGGGTATTTTTTGTTTTGTTTTTTGTGGTACTAGGGTTTGAACTTAGGGCCTACATCCTGAGCCACTCCACCAGCCCTTTTTTTGTGAAGGGTTTTCTTCAAGATAGGGTTTTGCAAACTATTTGATTGGGCTGGCTTCAAACTGTGACTCTCCTAGTCTCTGCCTCCTGAGAAGCTAGGATTATAGGTGTGAGCACTGGAAAAGCTGTGTTTTGTCGATGGATGTCCAGATGGAGTCCTGGATACAGGGCTGCTGGACAGTGACTCGGTGTCCATTTGTAGCTGTCTACACAGTCTTTGGGCTCTTAGATTATGAAGTCCTTATTGTGCTAAACTTGTTCTGTAACCTAAATAAAAGTAGGGTTGATGGATAGCAAAATGTAAGTTTTATTAAAATCAGAACCTGAAGGAAGCTCCTGTTAGAGGTGACAGGGTTGTTTCTGAACTGTGACTCTCTGGTAAGATGACAGATAACATTGGGATCCTCAAGTATTGTTTTGTCATTGCCATTAAGAGTCCTTGTACTAGGGAGGGGTGAGGATAGGTAAGACACCTAAAAAATTAGCTAGCATTTGTTGCCCTTAATGCAGAGAAACTAAAGCAGATACCTTAAAAGCAACTGAGGCCAATAGGAAAAGGGACTAGGAATAGAGAAAGGTTAGATCAAAAAGAATTAACCTAGAAGTAAACACAGCAGAGGAAATTAATGTGAGTCAACTCCTGTATAGCTATCCTTATTCAAACAGCAAAAACCCTGTTCCTTCCTGTTATTGCTTATACTCTCTCTACAAAAAATTAGAAATAAGGGCAAAATAGTTTCTGCTGGGTATTGAGGGGGGAGGAGAGGGAGGGGGCAGAGTGGGTGGTAAGGGAGGGGGTGGGGGCAGGGGGGAGAAATGAACCAAGCCTTGTAAGCACATATGAATAATAAAATAAAATTAAAAAAAAGTGTTGCAGTGAGACCTGAAAAAGAAAAAAAAAAAGAGTCCTTGTACTGAATCCAGTGCTAAGGGAAGAAGAGTCCATAAGGTTTGATAGACACACTTAATTGTTCAGAGAGCATAAATCAAGAAGATTTCTGTAAATCTAACTTTTACAAAAAACAGTCTGACACTATGTATCTAACTGTGGATTCAACCAACCTTGAATTGAAAGTATTAGGGGAAAAATTGCATCTATTCTGAACTTGTGCAGACTTTTCTCTTGTTATTATTCCCTCAGTAACAGTATAGCAACTATTTACATAGTATTTGCATTGCACTGGGTATTATAAGTAATCTAGAGATGTTTTCTGGTGTATGGGAAGATTGTGTAGGGTATATGTAGAACTTGTCATTTTGTATGCGAGACCTAAGCATCCAAGTATTTTTATCTCTGTGAGGGGTGTTCTTGGAACCATTCTCCCCTTGCAAACTGAGGGAAACCTACTTAGCACCATCAGTTAATAAGTAAAGGAGAAATTATTGAACTTAACAGTGGTAGGTTTTGTTTTGAATTTTTGTCCATGCAATTTGAATTATACTTCATCTATTAAGCATAGTACTCATGGGAAAATTCTGGGTTGTTTTTTTTTTTAAGATTTTTGTTAGAAAAAGGAGCAGATGCTTTGATTCTTCCAGAGATTCAAGCCAATGAATACATGGGCAGGACTTTTTTTTTTTTTTAGCAGACTATACCTTTGGCTGTTTTGTACAGCTTGCATTGTTTCCTGGACCCCAACTCTGCCTTCTCCTAGCACCCTCTGTGCTGAAATAAGAACCACTCTTCTGGATTGGTGCTTCCTACCATCTGTTCAGTGGTTACAAGGAGAAAGTAGGTTCCTTATCCTTTCCCACCCTTTCTTTTCTATACTTACCATCCCCTCTTTCTGTCTCTCCTTTCCTCTCTTAATTGAGTATACTCTTTTCTTTTGAGAAATGTTTTCTTACATTATCATATCATCTGTTGTAATACAAATGATAGCTTTCTATGACATTGCCTATATCATTTTATAACATGGCAGTTGTTTTCAAGTCTGGTATTTGTTTTACAGTTGCCTAGTAAAGTCTCCAGGGCAGATACAGTGATTCCCACATTATAGATAGGGAATTGAATCCCTCATGAATTCCTGTGTGCCTGTAAGATGTAACTTCAGTGTTAGAATGGCAATTCATACTTCCCCCACTCTCTAAAAGAGGTTAGAATTTCATTGTCGGCATGTGATCTGTCTCATTGTATTCAATAGCAGCCCCATCTACTTAAATGTTTCCAGTCCTGTTTCTCTTCTTATGTTTGGCTTTTCTATTGGTTTTGTGATTGCTGATTATTTCCCCCATGATTATAATGCATGAGTGTATTCTCAGGAAGCCTTTTTGATACTTCTGCATCATGTATAAATGTATAGCTCTCAGACAGAATATCTTTTATAATAAATTGTCAGTCCCTTTTAAAAAACGAGAACCAACTGGCATTTGCACTCCCATACTGTGCATCAAAGGATTTAACCTCAGCTAAGCAAGGGAGCCTAGTGATGAAGCATCTGTGTCCCTTTCCTGTTGCATCCTGTACTAGACACTGTTCGTAGTGTATGTTCCTGATGTGTCAAGACCCAGCATAGAATATTTTTGAAAAGCTGCCATTGAGCAAGTCAACCTTTGAAGACTGAGGGACATACATTAGGGTCAGAGTTAGAAATAAGAGGAGGAGTCACGTTAGGTGGGTGATGAAATTGTCAAATGAGACTTTTTCCTGAGAGAAGTGAGACACCCTTTCTTGACCTGAGGCTTTTGAGAAAATGTGCAGGTGAGACTGCTGATGGCTGTTGGTGATCTGTGTAGAGTTGTGGATGCCAATTATAGATTGAAAAGTTCAGATTGGTCTACACTGTTGCTTAGGTGATTTGTGAGTATTTATAGGGTTTAGACAGAGCAAGTCAAGGACAGTGAGAAATGGAAGGAACAAATGTAAACTCACTCAACATATGGCTTAAACACTCAAGATTATTAGTGTTAGAGCAATAAAACTGACCATCAGCATATATGGAGAAGACATAGAGGATAAGGCTTAAATGCACCCAAATCTACAATATAATCCATATTCTAGTAATCACCTTTTAAGGCTATTGTCTCACTTCCCCCAGGGGGAGGAAAAAAAAAACCTACTATAATCTTAAGTTGCATAGGAAAACAAAATACCGATGTTGAAGGTAGACTTGTTTTACCAGTGCTGGTTAGGGTCCCCATAATCATTATGTCTATTTCTGGTCCCTACATTTTAACAGACACAACACAAAAGAGTTTGTATCCAGAGGAGATCAACCAGAGTCAGACAGGTTGTAGAGCCTTGCTCGACCAATGAGGACTAGTGGAAAGATGGGGGAGGGGTACCTATGCACATGAGACAGGAGCCAAGTCATGAACAGTGAGTTTCTAGGAGCTGGTTTATTTTGTCAGAACTTGGCATTATAGAAGGTGATTTCTGTATTCAATATGATAGATCTGGCTGAGCTTGAAAATCTTTTCAGTATGAAGATTCTGTGATTCATTTGTCATTCTCTTTCTCATGAAATGATCTATCATGTATTTCCAGCCTGCATATCTTCCAGTTTCACTTTTAATTTATCCTTGCCTGAATGCTCCCTAATCATGTTTATAAAGCACTGCAGACCAGTTGAACTTTGCCATGACCTTTCAAAAAATCTCAGCAAAAGGAGAAACACGGTGAAGTTTTATTATGGCTAGATAGATTATATTTAAAGGTCTGGCTCTTAAGCTGAAAATTTGCTGCCTGGATTGTGCTGCTAGAGTATCTTTTAATTGTTGAAACCATAGTGTTGGTAGGTGCTAGAGCTGGAGTTGGCAGTTGAAGACACGGGCTCTGGGAAAATCACTGTCCTTCTCTGTGCATCATTTGCTTTATCTATAAATCAAGGGTAGTAGCCATGTTATATGTATCTTATGGTTTTATTATGAAGCCAGTGAATATCAGGTGCCTATAATGGAGCATAATACATAACAAGTGGTCAAAATTAGCTGCCAGTTAAATTTTTAAAAATTTGGCTGGCAGAGCAGCTCAAGTGGTAAAGTGCCTGCCTAGCAAGTGTCAGACCCTGAGTTCAAACTCCAGTACTGCCAAAATATTTTTTTAAATCTTTTGATGTTTTCATTTTCAAAAATTGACATTGAGAACCTAATTTCATTACCACTGATCTTTTAGAAGTATTACTTATATGGAAAAAAATTCTGAAATCTGAGAGCCATTGTTTTATATCATGAGCTCATAGAATTGCCTGCAACTGAGCATTAAGTTTTTGACAGGCATCATTCTTTCATGTTTTAAATCCATTTGTTTTAACCAAGCTCTGTGTTTCCATTTCTGTGCTGCATGGAAACTTGTCTTATCATGTCTTGGTGACACCTATGAAACCGTATTTAGCTTCTTGCATTAAAATGGCAAGATTCCCATTTATTGCCCGCCCTCTGTGCAGTGGAATTGATTTCCTTGTGCAGCTTGGAGAAGCAGTGTCATTACCTGGTCAGATTTCTGCAAGAATTTTATTGTAGTGCACTGGCTTCTTCTGCTTCTGAAAATTAGTTTCA